ATTTAGCCTTCGCTGCATAACAAACCACCCCCAAAGCTTATGGACCTAAAATCTCAGCAACCATCCAGTTTGCTCATGATTCTTTCGATCAGCAATTTGGACTGGACTCAGCTGGGTACATCTTCTGCTGGTGTTACCTGGGTCACTTATAGAGTTTTAGTCATTTGCATCTCAACTGCAACTGGATAGTTTAAGATGTCCTTGTGCATACATCTGTCTGTAGGAGCTGGGTGCCAGCTGGGCCATTTATCTCCTGCAGATCAGTCTGGGCCTCTTCATGTGGTGGCAGAAGAACTCCCAGCATCAAAAGAGGTGCTCAAGTACTTTTCACACCTCTCTGCACTTTAGGTTTGCTTAGGTCCCACTTACCAAAGCTCGTCACGTGGCCAAGCCCAGAGTCAATGCAGAAGGGAGCCTCACAAGGGTATGTCTACAGCAAAATATATAATTCATTGGTGTCCATTACTCTGTCTACCAAGAGGCATTTCTTGACAGCCTGAGACTAAGTTATAAAGCCTCATTTTATACTCTTAGCATCCTGTACTTTTCCTTTGAAACAATTAATTGTATGATTTGATATTTATCACTGCACTGACAATCCCCAGACCACGTCTGCAGGATATAAACCTGCCCTGGAGTATCTGGGAAACTTCCGCCCAGCTCTCATGCAGCCAGTTGATCCGCATGATAGAGACGCAGCAAGGCCAGGGACTGAGTGCACACAAACCTTAGAGGAGGATATTTCCATTCACCTGGTCCAGGTTTGCTCAGCCTTTCCTGCAAACCTTAGCCTGAGTGCCTGCATAAGCCTTTGGAAGAAGAACAGTTTTCAAATAATCTGGTTCCAGTACACTTGCCAAGTTTCAAAGCCCTTTAACAGTAAGAGTTGTGCTAAGGCTTATGGGGCCCCCACAGGGCACTGGTCTCTAGGCTAGGCACATATCTTATCTCCTTATTTGCCTTACACAACCCGGGAGGTAGCGTTATTATCTCCATAACACAGATAGAGAAACTGAAGCTCAGCGGGGTAAAATAACATCTCTAGGGCGGGAAAATGGTGGAAACTTTCATTTGTTTAGCATATTTCAGTGTCTGATATATTCCGGGCCCTCAACTTGGCCTGTGCTTGAAGACAATGATTTTGCTTTCACAATATGAGCTCTTTCTGCCAGGTTGGTCTGGTTACCAGAAAAAAAGGAGATGGGGGAGGGATGTAAAAAGGGAAAGTGGGGCTAGAGGATGCGAAAGACAAACACCCAGGGTTTGTCTGGGAACAGCTCCCATCCCATCTCCTTTGATTCTCCCATTGCAGACCCCGCCTCCTCTCCCCCTCACATCATGACCATATCCTCACCTCCGTGACCCAGGCAAGTGTTCTTTCTCGAACATCTCCCTCGAAAGGATAACAAAAGTGTTTTCACTGGCGCTGTTGTCATGTGATCAAAGCATAGCTCAGGAAATGGGGTCCCTCAAAAGCTGTTTATCTAAAATCTCTTATTTCACCCATTGGAGCATTTTTAAGAGAACATTCCGCACCTTCTTTCCCAAGGGCAAATATTTCAGTTACCTGTGTCCTACGAGCCAGGCTGAGGCCACACATACTTTGCTCAGTAAAAGAAAACATCACTCTCCTGTCAGAACATTTCCCTTTGTGCTCATGTTCACTCCGCCACCCCCTCCCCGCAGCCCATCTCTGAGGCCAGGAGGAAGCCCTAATCAGGTCTCTCACAGGAAATCTGAGTGCTTCAAGGCAGGGAAGATTTGAAGACAGAAAAAACAAAACGGAAAAAAAAAAAAAAAAAACCCAAACCCTGTAAATCCAAGCTGAGGTGGGAGTGTTTTTTATTACTGATAAAAAACAGAGTCCCTTTTCTGGGTTATTCGGATGAGCTCAGAGTAAATATTTATTCTTTCAGTTAATGGGTCTGTACTGAGCAGCTCTGGACTCCCAGACAATCAAAGCTGGCGAGTCACTTTCTGCTTCCCCGGTCTGAGGAGAGAACTAGGCAAAATTATCTGGCACAGGGAGCCCTTTTCCTTGTGGCATGACTGTCGGCATGAATGAGGCATGACATCCCTCTTTGTGCCAGAATGGGGTGAGTGTGAGGGAAGGCCTTGCTGGGACCTCCCAGCTCTGCTACTCTGGGATGATTTAATAGTCATATCGTCAGTGTTCCCAGAGCAAACAGCGGCCTACCTCTGAGGACAAGAAGGAAGATGGATAGCTGGGTCTGTAACCCCCACCCTCCCCTTAGGTTTGAATGCACTACTTTGTTCTTTGGTGGTTTCAGGGAATGCAGTGTTCATAGCACTCATACCCCCAAGACACACACACACACACACGAACATTTACATATGTGAATAAAGGAAAAGGATACATATGGACACAGTGACCTGAGAGATTTTTGAGGGCAGAGGCTACTCCTTATTCATATTCATGTTCCCATATTGCCTAGCAAGGCCTGGCATCCAGCACATGCTTAATACACACTTTTTGAATGAATTCATAAATAATTACAACCATTTATTTAGCACTTAATAGGTGCCAGGTGTTGAAGAAAGGGCTTCATAAACATTCTCTTATTTAATTCTCACAACAGACAATAAGATTTGGTGCTGTGACTTTCCCCATTTCAAAGATGTGAAGAGTGAGGCTTAATAAGACAAAGGGTTTTATCGAAGGTTACACAGCCGGTCAGTAGTAGTAAAAGATATCCCATGTTCTTGGATTGGAAGAATTAATATTGTTAAAATGGCCATACTACCCAGCAATCTACAGACTTAATCCCTATCAAATTACCTAGGGCATTTTTCACAGAATTAGAATAAGTAATCCTAAAATTTATATGGAATCACAAAAGATCCAGAATTGCCAAAGCATTACTGAAGAAGAAAGAATGAAGCTGGAGGAATAACCCTCCTAGACTTTGGACAATACTAAAGAGCTACAGTAATCAAAACAGCATGGTATTGACAAAAACAGACATATGGACCAATGGAACAGAATAGAGCGCCCAGAAATGAACCCACAAACTTTTGGTCAATTAATCTTTGACAAGGAGGCAAGAACATAGAATGGAATAAAGACAATCTCTTCAGCAAATGGTGTAGGGCAAACTGGACAGCTACATGCAAATCAATGAAGTTAGAATACTCCCTCACACCATACACAAAAATAAACTCAAAATGGATCAAAGACTTAAACATAAGACAAGATATACTATAAACCTCTTAGAAGGAAACATAGGTAAAACATTATTTCACATACATCTCAGCAATGTTTTCCTAGAGCAGTCCACCCAAGCAATAGAAATAAAAACAAAACAAACAAACGAACAAACAAAAACAACCCAAATGGGACCTAATTAAACTTATAAGCTTTTGCACAGCAAAGGAAACCATAAGTAAAACATAAAGACAACCTATGGAATAAGAGAACATATTTGCAAAAGATGAGACAGACAAGGGCTTAATTTCCAGAATATATACATAGCTAGTTCAACTTAATAAGAAAAAAAAAAACCAAACAACCCAATCCAAAAATGAGCAGAAGACCTAAAACAAGCAATTCTCCAAGGAAGACATACAAATGGCCAATAGGCACATGAGAAAATGCTCAGTATCACTAATTATAGGAGAAATGCAAATCAAAACTACAATGAGGTATCACCTCACACAAGTCAGAAAGGCCATCATTCAAAAATCCACAAATGACAAATGCTGGAGAGGCTGTGGAGAAAAGGGAACCCTCCTTCACTGCTGGTGGGAATGCAGTTTGGTGCAGCTGTTGTGGAAAACAGTATGGAGATTCCTCAAAAGACTGAAAACAGACTTATCAGATGATGTCAGCAATGCCACTCCCGGGCACATATCCAGAGGGAACCTTAATTTGAAAAGATACATGCACCCCAATGATCATAGCAGCACTATATACAATAGTCAAGACATGGAAACAACCTAAATGTCCATTGATAGATGACTAGATAAAGAAGTTGTGGTATATTTGTACAATGGAATACTACTCAGCCATAAAAAACAATAAAATAATGCCATTTGCAGCAACATGGATGACCCGGGAGAATCATTATAAGTGAAGTAAGCCAGAAAGAGAAAGAAAAATACCTTATGATATCAATTATATGTGGAATTAAAACAAAAGCTAAACTTATTTACAAAACAGAAACAGACCCACAGACATAGAAAACAAACTTATGGTTACCAGCTGGGGGAAGGGAATGGGAAGGGATAAATTGGGGAGTTCGAGATTTGCAGACACTAACTATGAAATATAAAACAGATAAACAAGTTCATACTGTATAGCACAGGGATCTATATTCACTATCTTGTAGTAACTTATGGTTAAAAAGAATATGAAGCGAATACATGCATGGTCCTATATGACTGAAGGATTGTGCTGCACACCAGAAACTGACACAGCGATATAAACCAACTATACTTCAATAAAAATATATTTTTTAAAAAGATAACAAAAAAGAGACATCTGACTCCACAGCTGATGCTCCTAACACTTTCCTCTACAAATGCATCTATCCAAAGTATAAATTAAAAATATTTCTACAAATGTCATATACAAATAGCCGTAGTTGAGTCACCAAAGTGCACTAACCCTACCTGGAGGCTTTGATTAAGCACCGTGTCTGTCTCAGACATTTATTTCCTGTCCTTCCTCCCCAACCCCAGTTGTCAGATACTCAATGCAGGCATCAGCTTCAGAGTAAAGATTTTTGCACTTCTAAGCAGTAGGGAAAGAACTCCGGATTTAGCTCCCTTCTGACAGGACAGGTATTTTCCTGAAGAGGACACTGTCAGTATCAGTTTTCTATCTCTTCCAAAACAAACTGTCACAGACGTAGCATTTTCATGCAACACTCACTCATTACCTTGTATTGTGTAGGGCAGAGGTCCTGGGCCGGCTAAGCTGGGCTCCACTCAGGGTATCACAAGGCTGAAATGAAGTTATGGGGCAGCTGGACTCTTACCTGGAGGCTTTGGACGAGAACCCGCTCTCAAGCTCATTCAGGTGCCAGCAGAATTCAGTTCCCTGCAGGTGGAGGAGTGAGGTCTTCGTTTACTTGCTGGCTGTCAGCCAGGAACTGTTGTTTGCTCTTAGAAGCTGCCCACATTCCTTCTCATGCGGCCCCTTCCACCTTCAAACAAACAAAAACACGGCCATGCCTTCTCATGCTCAGATTCCTAACTTCCTCTTCTGCAGCCAGCTGAAAAAAGTTCTCCTCTTTTAAAGGCTCACATGATTAGGTTAGAACCATCTGGATAACCTCTCGTTAAGGTCCACTGTGCCAGATAACACAATTAGAGTGATTCGCAAGTTCTGGGCATCAGGTCATGGGATCCTGGGGGCCATTTCTAGAAATAATTCCTGCCTTACTTCTCTTATTTAAAACTGAGGCAAGGATAGGAGAGAGATTTATAGGGAGGCAAAAGGGAACCAAATCAGATAGCAAACAACCATGTTAAAAAATCTGCCAAAGCAGAATGGAGGAATCGCATCCATACTTCAACCATCAGGCAAAGCATATCATGAAGAGCCAAGAAAAAATAAGGGGGCATTTACTAGGATCTTGATAAATGTGTATCAAACTACCTGCTATTCAGAGTGAACCACATGTTATGCAGAAGGAAAAGGGAAAAGAAAAACTCATCACACGTTCCCGGTACGTTAGAAGAATTCACATGTATGGAGTTCTTTCTGTAGTCCGGGCACACCTCTGAGTGCTTAATGTGTATTAATTCATTTTATCTTCAGATAAGTGTATGGTATTAGGTATTATTAGCTCCATGTTACAGGTCAGGGGCAACCAGATAAGGAAATTGCTACACACTGGACAGCTAGTGACCGTTATCGACAGGCAATGGAAGCAGACGTGTGGCTCCCCAGCATGCCTAGCTGCTACAGTAGACGCACCTGGAATTATGGCCTTTTTGTGGTCTGGCCATGAAAGAAAGGACGAAGGCAAACATTGTAACATAAAATAGGTGTCTGTGGGTCTGAGATATGGGCTCAGACCAAGAGGAAAAGGCGTCTGGTGCAGAGAGCCTGGGATTTCACATAAGACACTCTGGTGTCCAGATGCAACCGTGAACGTTACGAAGGTCGTGACTTTGGACAAGTCATTTCAGTTCTCTGAGCCTCTGTTTCCTCATTTATAAAATGGGGATAATGACTTTTGCTTCTCAGTCTTCAAAGGATTGTCATGTGGTGCAGTGGTGGGCAGACATCATTCTAATGGACTATGTAAATCTAAGACAGTACTACTTCCGTCTGGGGTTTGTGTTTTGTTTCTTCCACATTCCCAGGGTTATGTGCTGCCGAGAAGGGTAGGCTTGTTAGGTAAGAATATTTTTTATACTCTTAGGTTTGGTTCTTTACCTACAAGTTTCATGTTAAGCCTTAAAAAACAGCCATTCATTCTGTCTTTTTAACAGTCAGCCTTTGTTGGTGTTTCCCTCCACACACATGAAGCTAACAGGAAATAACACCTTTGAGGAATCCCATCAGAGATGAGTAGATGGCATTTTCATATAGAGTGAGGGAGGAAAAAAGAAACTGAAGGTAGGAGAGAGATGGAGCATGGTCTAAAAGGAGACATGTATTAGTCAGGGTTCTCCAGAGAAACAGAGCAATAATTACCCCTTCTCTCTCTCTCTCTCTCTCTCTCTCTCTCTCTCTGTCTATCTATCATCTGTCTGTCTAGATATATAGATATAATTTATTATAGGAATTGACTCTTGGATTATAGAGGCCAAGAAGTCCCACAATTTGCCATCTGTAAGCTGGAGACCCAGGCAAGCTGGTGCTGTAATTCATTCCCAGTCCAAGGGCTTGAGAACAAGGAGAGCCAGTGTCTGAGGGCAGGAGAAAATGGATGTCTCATCTTAAGAAGAGAGCAGATTCACCCTTTCTGTCCCTTTTTGTTCTATTCAACCTTCAACGGATTGCGTGATGCCCACCCACACTGGTGTGACTTTACTCAGTCTGCTGACTCAGATGCTAATCTCTTCCAGAAGCGTCCTCACAGACACATCCAGAAATAGTGTCTTACCAGCTCTCTAGACATCATTTAGCCCGATCAACTTCACACACAGAATTAACCATCACAAGGCAGAAGGGACAGGAAAGACTGAGTGAAGTCATGGGGGCTCTTCTTTTTCTCTGTAGATGGATAGAAGGGAGAATAGACTAGAGACCTGGAACTCGAGGGGAAAGGTGGTGGTTAGAAGCAGCTCCTTTGGAAAAAAGAAAGGATACTGAGTAGAGACATGTTAAAGACTTATCAAGAAACACTTAAAGCCTGGCTAAGAATGGAAACCATAAATTTGTTATGAAGTCAATTAGCATGATTATGCAATTTTCCTCCAATAGGTCACAGCTGGAGAAAAGAAGCAAAAAAATCCCCCTTGTTTGCTTGAAGCTCTGAGAGAAAAAAAAAAATTAAACATCAACAATTCATCGACTTGTTTTTACAAAAATATTTAATGAATATCTACTATGTTCCAGAAACTGTTCTAGGCATTGATGGGACAATAGGAAGACAGACTAGTTTTCTTTCCTAATGGAGCTTGCAATGTTGTGGTAAGAAATGGAATAATAAAACAGGCAAATGAATAATGAATAGCTAATTAAGAAAATGACATCATTTACATATGTATCTATATGTAGGTGCTGATAAACATTCATGTAGATAGACACCTATATACCTAAATTGATGTACATATGTCTATTTCTATCCCTATCTATCTATATGTCTAAATTCACATTGAATTATTACATTAGCTTGTTAAACTGTTCACTCCTTTTGTAGATGAGACTCAGAGAGGTTAATGATCTTTCTCAAGGTCACACAGATAATAAAGATCAGAGCCAAGATTTGAACCCAGACGCTATGACCCCAGGGCAGTGCTCACTTCATGGTCTCACCAAGCTGTTATTACAGAGCTCCCTGGCAGGATGGAGACGTGAGAAGTAAGAGAGAAAGGGAACGATTGGTAGTGATGATAGTGAACCAGAAATGGCTGACAAGGAGCAAAAGATGATGAAGTCAGAAAGGGAAAGGAGGTCTCGACTTGGAAAATAGGAGGAGGCTGGGCAGAGGTTTGCAATTTTCCTGGAGGATTTCCAGGATATCGAGACAGGGAGGGCAATGTGGGCGGGCAGACAGTAGGCTCTGGTCACGGTCTTACTAGTTTTCTACTGGGAAGGTACAGTTCAGCATGTCCTTGCGAGCTTCCGCTTTAAGATGGTGTTGCTCTTCCTTTGATGACAACTATTCTCTTATTCCTAGTTAAGTTCCTGGGCCCCTCACAGAGGGGCACCTGGGAAGTCTTCCATTAATGGTGAATTGAATCGATTAACTCAGATGTGTATAACGCACAGAGCAAACGGTAAGTGCTCCAGCACATGGGAGGGGCTCCTCAAACACTGTTTGCTGTTGCTTTGCTGTCGCTTTCTTCCTCCAGGTAAGCTTACGACTGAAAAATCAGGAAGTCTTACCTTTGCAGGGAGGGAGGGGCTTGGCGGTTTACTTGCCTTTAGGCAATTTCCTAGGCTCTAAGCTATATACAATTAGAGAAAAGAGAATCCCTTTGTTGAAAATGGAACTCTTGACGAGGCATTTGATGAACACACTGGAGATCATTTAATGAGCTGAAACCACTGCCTCCTCAATTCTGCTTCCTCTGACTTAAGGGGAAGAGCAATGTTGTTTCTTTTCCCCTCAAAGACCTTCATGTTAACATTCTGGCTCACTCAGCATCACCTGAGTCAGCAGATCATCCCGAACGACAGTCTAGTGCAGTGAACAAGCAAAATGGTTTATTTATAAGCCTCTTTCCCAACTGGGATCCTGGGAAAACTGCTGTTCTCAGAAGTAAATAAAGGTCAGGATGCCTTAATATATACTCAGTGGAAAGTCTAGTGATGATTCTTTCGTGATGGGTGAGACTGCAAACTCAGAACTATTCTTGGACATGTTGGCATAAAATTCTAGGGGAGAATGTGCTGGACTGAACTCTTGCCCTCAGCAATTTTCTTATTCACTGCCCCCACCCTGGTTGACACTCTTATTATGTGGTCTGTTACAGTAGCTTCTTAGCTGGTCTCTCTGCCTTCAAGCTCTTTGCCTACCCCCCATGCTCCTCTACTCACCCAGGGCAGATCTATTTTCCTTAATCACAATTCCTGCCATTTCAGCTCCTCTCCCATAAAGCTTAAAGCATCTAATTAAAAACTATCATTAATTGATTGGTTGCCATGAGGTGGGCAAGTTACGTAACCATTGTTGTCTGTCTGCTTACAGTTATACCTTAGTGCCTAGAATTTTTGAATTCTATATACCTGGTACAAAGATGGCATACAGATTACTGGTGAAATAAATAAATGATACCACTTAATCTTCAATGCCACCTCGTGTGCTACGGATCTTTTACCTGTTTCAGGAACCTGATGTTGACGAGGTTAAGTAAATTATCCAAGACTGCAGGAGAGAAATCTAGCTTAAAATCTGGGCCTAGATGATTTCAAAATTCATTTGTTAAGCCAGTATTCAATTCTGGTTCAAATGGCATTTAAACAACTGCCCTAAATAACCCCAAACAGTAAGTCCAGCCCCTAATCGACTCAAGTTATCCAGAAGAACCCATAACCTGCTATTGTCAACATGCCTCCCATGTTGGTCCTCGCTTTATTCAAATCCTGTTCATCCTTAAGGTCTCATTATACTCAACACCTTCCTCCAAAAAGCCAATCCACATGGTCTTTGTGATAGAGTCTCCTTTGAATCCTGCCACAGACTCACCCAAGACTCACACTTGGATGCTAACTGTTGTCATTAGTTGGCAGTGTAGGAGCCAGAGTCGTCTGATTGAATGTTAATGTTTCCCCGCAGTGTCTGACTAAGTGCTGGATGTTAGGGAGGGTCTTAGTAAAGGCTTTTTAACTTAATCACATTAAATTTGGTATCAATCCCTGTCAACTTCCAGTTTCTCCCATCAGCAGTAGTGAAGGCATATTTACCAGAAAATACTTTCTCCAGTTTGAGAAAATGTCATAAGCCAGAGAGCATTTTGGACTAATCCCAAGGAACAAAGTTCCTCACTGCCTGGATGGAGACTGAGAAAG